TGTTAGAGAAACAAAAAAGGAATCTGAGCAGATCGGCATATTTAAGGGACGAGTCTCTTTCACCCAAAATTAACTGCAATAATTTCTGCTGTATAAACTGATAAATGACTTGATGTCCTTTTCACTAACATGTTAATTCAGCTCAGTTTATGCCCATTGTAGGGGTTTTTAACAAGCCTCCAGTGAATGAAAGAATGTCAAAAAACTGTAAAGTAAAACTCTGGTTACTAGGGTTGCAAAGGGGTGAAAAATGTCCGGAAACTTTTCAAAAATCCCTGGAATATTCCAAAAAATCATGGAAAGTTTCCAAAATTTCTGGAATATTTCTGAAATATACTGGAGATTTTCCACCTTTTTGCAACCCTACTGGTTACTAATGTAACCTTGGCTCCCTGAGATGACAGGAACGAGCATTGCATTTACCACCAGCCTATCTGACACAAAGATATCTCCAACAGAGACTCTACTGGACAAAGCTCAAGAGGAGGCCATTCCCCTGGCATTCATTACCCAGTGAGATCATCTCTGCTTCATAACTTCATAGCAGCCCCATAAAGCAACCTCTAAAGCACACAGAGAGCTACTCTGATTGCTGAAACCGACTAGAGCATTCTATATATACCTTAAGAGCAGTGCTTCTGGTTATAATAAGAAATATTCCAATTTTCGGGTTGCCATTAACTCCTGTGAAGCTGTAAAGTATATCATCATGCGCATGAATAAAACTTGTATTGTGAGCTTGCAGAATGCAAACTATTATTGAGTGTAATATATTTATATTGAATCTTTTCAATACTGACATGTGAAATGCATTTGTCAGAAGCTTTGGTCTTCTTTAAAAAAACAAATATAATAACAAAATCAAAGTTTCACATTATCAGAGGAATTAATTTCTACTGAAAGTATTTTAAACTTCTATTTGTACATCTGTGAAGGAAACTGGTGCTTCTTCTTCCTGCGTCTCGTGTCCCGAAGCTTACAAGTAAGACTGAAGAAAGGTAAGGTCTTCCTATCTTTTACTTTTTGTTTTAATTAATTTCAGGAGTGAAATAACAACCCTTTTTTAAACAGGATGACATTTCTACAGTGGGACATTAGGTCAGACGGGCTAGAGTGCCAAAGATCATTTAGATTAACTATCTATTCACTGCAAACTATTGCCACATCAACATAAAATCAACTGACATGACTGGAGTGTTTTAAAGCGGCAGCGCATATCATTTTACAAAAGCCATGTATAGCTAATTTATATGTTCATATGAAACTATTGAACATCTGAAAGCTTTCATGAATGGTATCTTCATGATCTCTGTAGGAAAATCCGCAAAATAAAATATATATTTGATATTTCTCCCATCAGCTAAAATGGAAGTTTCAGCTGTATTGAGCCGGTTTCAGATAAAATAAATAAATTAAGGACTTATTTTATGTTGCCCTTTCCTGTTTCTAGGTCTGAGAAAGATCGGTATAGAGGATCCTGTTGTGTTTTTGATCTCTAGCTTTGAGCTCGGCAAGTATGATTTAAATCTGCTGCAGGAGAGAATGGAGCAAGAGCTTCCACAGCATAAGAGACGTGTGCTGATGTTGGCTTTGCCGAATATCACACTCAAGATCAATGAGACAAAGAAAGCTCTAGTTATATTGAATCTTTTCAATACTGACATGTGAAATGCATTTGTCAGAAGCTTTGGTCTTCTTTAAAAAAACAAATATAATAACAAAATCAAAGTTTCACATTATCAGAGGAATTAATTTCTACTGAAAGTATTTTAAACTTCTATTTGTACATCTGTGAAGGAAACTGGTGCTTCTTCTTCCTGCGTCTCGTGTCCCGAAGCTTACAAGTAAGACTGAAGAAAGGTAAGGTCTTCCTATCTTTTACTTTTTGTTTTAATTAATTTCAGGAGTGAAATAACAACCCTTTTTTAAACAGGATGACATTTCTACAGTGGGACATTAGGTCAGACGGGCTAGAGTGCCAAAGATCATTTAGATTAACTATCTATTCACTGCAAACTATTGCCACATCAACATAAAATCAACTGACATGACTGGAGTGTTTTAAAGCGGCAGCGCATATCATTTTACAAAAGCCATGTATAGCTAATTTATATGTTCATATGAAACTATTGAACATCTGAAAGCTTTCATGAATGGTATCTTCATGATCTCTGTAGGAAAATCCGCAAAATAAAATATATATTTGATATTTCTCCCATCAGCTAAAATGGAAGTTTCAGCTGTATTGAGCCGGTTTCAGATAAAATAAATAAATTAAGGACTTATTTTATGTTGCCCTTTCCTGTTTCTAGGTCTGAGAAAGATCGGTATAGAGGATCCTGTTGTGTTTTTGATCTCTAGCTTTGAGCTCGGCAAGTATGATTTAAATCTGCTGCAGGAGAGAATGGAGCAAGAGCTTCCACCCACAGCATAACGTGTGCTGATGTTGGCTTTGCCGAATATCACACTCAAGATCAATGAGACAAAGAAGAAAGCTCTAGAGGAAAACATTGGAAGAGTGGCAGGAGGAATGTCTTTTCTGACCGTCTCAAGTGTGCTAAAGAAAGCTCTGAATGGCATCGCTGATGATGCTAGGAATATTATTGTAAATATTGAAGTGTAAATGTAAAATTGACAAGAATATTCAACAGCATTTATAACTAATTGCTTTTGCAATATTTATAGACAAAAGCATTTTTCACAATTAATACAAAATAAACGATGAGTCTTTATGATATGTGACCCTGGAGCACAAAAGCAGTGTTAAGTCGCTGGGGTATATTTGTAGCAATAGCCAACAATACATTGTATGGGTCACAATTATAGATTTTTTGCTGTATCTCGGCCAAATATTGTCCTATCCTAACAAACCATACATCAGTGGAAAGATTATTATTCAGCTTTCAGATCATGTATTAATCTCAATTTTGAAAAACTGACCCTTATGACTGGTTTTGTGCTCCAGGGTCACATATAGATTTATATTCACATTTACTTGTTTAATTAGTTGCACATTAGTAAATAATCTGAAGCATTTTACAGTTGCAGAAAAATACAAATTAATTTAGGAAGATTTTATTGAATGATAATAGTTTTGTTTGGATAATTAACTTGTGTTACTTTTGTTGCAAATGTATATTTGCTCAAAATGTGTGCTTATTTCCACTATTTTATGTCTTTCTAACTTTATAGTGTGGTTTTGGCCCTCTCTTGATGAATTACACTGAATCTTGATACATGATGCATTAAAACATTGATCACTTTGTGATGAGTGTTATATTTATGTCTAAATGTGCTGTATAGGGAAACATTTTTATGTTGATTTCAGTTTGATGCCATTTAAGGAAGTGAGGTATGGAGCGATACACCTACTCATGTTTCGTTTTGAGTAAAATAAAGGTCACAGCAGCAGGTTGCATTTGCACGTTTGCATGTTGCACATAGTCCCCAACACTGTGAAACAATAGCATGTGCAAGGCTTACAACGCAAAGAAAACTCCTCTCCAAACTGCTGTTCTTCATAATTTAATTCATACACAAAACACATTTGAGCCAACCAGACTGGTTTAGTTTATAAACCTAGTCATACACATATCAGGATTTATAAACTAAAAACAGTCATAGAAAGTATTCTACTCGTTATATTAAACTTTAAATATGAAGATACATTTCTAGCTCTGACTGATTATAAATCGTAATTTTGACTGATTTTTAACTGTAATCAATTCAACATATATTTAGACTGTAGATATTGCTATATTAACTATGCAACTTTATTGCAATGTTGCTGATATATGTACACTGAATAAAGAGCAATCATGCTTCCATGGACAGCAAACCATAGAATATCAAGCACTTTCCCCAAAATAAACTTTTTTCCTTTATTGAAAAGGGGGAAAAAATCCCTCTTTGTTTATTTTCTCTGGATCATGGTTTCTACACTGGTTTTAACTATTTTCATTTTTACCAAACAGTGCTGTAATCCTGTCTAGCAAGTCTCTTACCCCCATTAAGGTGTTGAAAAATGTTTGCCTTTTCAGAGTAACTTCAATCCTGGGTGTCTACAATCGCTTTAGAGTTGTTTGAGAAGGTGTCTGTGTTTGACAAATGTCCCGACACTCTTTATTCATGACTTACTAGACTGCTTTTCATTAACAACAAGTTACAGAACCGGTTTGAAACAAGAACATCCTCTTGACAAGTAAGATGTCAAAACTCTGATGTTCAGATATAATGAGGCTTCAAAGGTCCTTTCAGTGTTTCCTTACAAGAAACAAAAAAGAACGTCGTTGCAGCACTGAATAAACATACCATGCTATTTTAAGCTTCTGTGAATGCAGATATACCCAATAGTGTCCAAAACTGTAAAGTTAAATAATGTGGTTAAATTAAACTCTAAAATATTCAAAATATAAATATATAAATTGTTTCTTTTAAAAAAAGTCACTAAAGGCTAAAGGGGTGATTTGCCTTCTGGAAAAATGTCTTACTCGGATCAAACCTTTCATTTTCAACTAAATGTTTTTTTTCATTTGTAATTATCAAGGACTAAGGCATTTTTCTGATTGTTGTTGTTTGTTATATATGCCATGTGATCTCATGAATATTTGCATGTGTATTGCATGAAGTATGGCTCAACGACACACTTTCTATAGACCATTTACTTAATTTAAAATGGTCAAATTTTGCTGTTATCTGTGACTTTTGGTGCCATATTGAACTCTTTTAAAGGGATTACATGATTTGGCAATGATATAAAATATGCTGGCTTTGCTGAATATCATAGCTTAGTGGGGAAAAAATCTAGAAACCAATATTGTAAGAGTAGCCTTCCTGTTTGTTTGTGTGGCTTCAGTTTCAGTTGCTGGTCTTTTATTTGTTGTGACAAAAATCTACATGCACAGCCACAGACAGAACCAGAATCTTCTCAGTACATATACACTGCCATAAAAAAGGGTGTTAATGCACAGATATGAACAAAATCTCTCGCTATGGTGATTCATAGCAGTGAACGTGAAAGCATACCTTGGGTGGATCTCGATGCTATTGTTTTGCATAAAGTAGAAAAGTTTAGTTCCGGGCGTCAGGCTTCACTTCAGATCATATGCTGTCAGGGTCTTCCTGCTGCTCAGAAGAATTTGGTAAGAAATATACAAGCTAATTGCCTCCTTTGCAATGTATTTTTACTGTTTCACTGATCTTCTAAATGTTTAAAGAACTTTTAAAAAATTCTTGACAGGAATATCTTGTAAAATGAGGTTTATCTGGGATATCCTCATTTTTGTATTTTGCTACCTCACGTTTAGTGTAAATTTCTTTATATAAAGTCGTCTTCAATGTTGTAATGTAAAATGCTTTTTAGAAGCTTTTTCTAACATTAAAATGCATTGAATTAAAATGCACTGATTGAATGTACTTCAAACTTTTCTTTGAACAGCAGTGCATTTCACATCTGTGAAGGAAGCAACAGCACTTGTCTTCTCTGTCTAATAATTCTTCCTGCATCTCGTGCTCTGAAACATAAAGGTGAGATTGAAAACATGTAAGAGTCAGTTTTCAGATCATACCAATTCATTGCTTTATTTTTGCATTTGCATTTAAGACGTACATTTCGGATTGATGTCTACATGTTTGCTTTGTAGAAGCACAATACCCCTTGATGTTTCCAGGACAAATCATTTTACGAAACTTGAAAAATTTAATGATTTATATTTTCATATTAAAGTATTGAAAATACAGTATGAAAGAATCATGTCTTGATAGGCTCTATAAGGGAAAATGCTGAGATCTGCAAAATAACCTTCATGATAAAAGACTGTTTAGTTGTTGGTCCATTTGACGTCCCAACACAGAAAACAGTTTCTAAAGTAGCCTTAGTTCCCTGAGATAATGTGAACGAGCGTTGTGGAGAAACTTCTGTTTACTCAGAATACTGAAGCTTGATTTGTTCTTTTTGGAAATGTAAGCTGTTCTTGCAGCTCGCTGTTTTAAATTAAAGGATTTGGACGATGACTGGTGATCTTTTATATGCTAATGGCATTACTTAAGGGTCGTTAACAAGGCAGAGAACTGAAACCATTCAGTTGCGCGCAAGTTCAAAATCATTTGCGATTCATAGATTTCACATCTGAAAGAGATGCGTACGTGCGCTTTCTGTGCGTAAGTTCATTCTATGAATCACACATATACATATTTGAGAGATGATCGTAAGAGGAAATTTAGGATGGTTTCTGCGCAACATTTTATAAACGAGGCCCCAGCTGCATGAGCTCATAAGGGCACAATAGGCCTCGAAAACGAGACCCAGGTCACAAGGCCAGGGTCTACATCAAGAAAACCCTTTCCACTCACAGAAGGATTAGGGCAATTAGGCAGACAAGGTTATAAGATAAGGTTATAAAACCTAGTGAAGGTAGATGGTGAAGACATGCCGGCTGCTGCACAGATATCTTCAATTGAGACTCCACTGGGACAAGCCCAGGAGGAGGCCTTTCCTTTGGTGGAGTGGGCCCTCACTCCAGTAGGACACTGTATGTCCACCGAGGTGTAAACCAGGGCTATGGCATCAACTATCCAACAGGATAGTCTCTTCTTCATAACTGGAACCCCTTTAGAGCAGCCTCCAAGCATACAAAGAGCTGCTCAGATTGGCAAAAGTGGCTAGAGCACTCTACATAAACTTTAAGAGCCCGGACCAGGTAGAGTAGATTTGGACCCTGCTCATCCTCTGAGTTAGGAAGAGCTAGAAAGATGATAACCTGTGCTCTGAACGGAGTGGACCTCAAAAGGGCTTGAGGATTGTAGAAAAGTATGAGGACGAGTCGGATTCGATCTCTGAGCTCCCCCCAGGAACTTAACGACATACGTCATTTTGCTGACTGATTATCCAGCTATAGTATGATTCGCTCCTTTTCCAGCAGCTCCTGTAAAAATGTTAGCATGGATGATACATCACAGGATGACGGGTCCTTGCTCCACGCTGCACACTGGTCAGAGAACACAGACCACTTAAGGACATAGAGGTGTCTCGTAGATGGGGCTTTAGCCTCCAAAATTGTGCTTGTTAGCTTTAAAGACTCCCGTTGAGGGACCAAACATGAAGGCTCCACAGCTCAGGCTGGGGATGCCAAATCATGCCTCTCGCTTGGGAGAGGAGGGCCTTCTTCGACTGAATTGGCCAGGGGGCTGCCGACAGCAGCTGAATTAACTCTGGGAACCATGTCTGGTTCCTCCAGAGTGAGGCCACCAGGAAGACAAAGCATTCAACTTCGCTGACTCATCTGATGACCTAAGGAAGCAGGGCAATCGTAGGGAATGCACACAGGCAAGTGCTGGGCCACTCATGGGACAGAGCATCTCCTTCCTCTCAAGAAATATATTGGGCAGTGAGAGTTGTCTTCTGAGGCGAAGAGGTCCACCTCTGGCCTCCCAAAGACATTCCATATCATCTGAGCCGCCTGGGGGTGTACTCACCTAACATGTCCACTCCTTGGTTCAGCCTGTGAACTACCCTCAGTGAGTGCAGGTTGTACTGTGCCCATAAAAGAAGGCATCTTGCCACCCTGTAGAGGGACCATGACCTGAGACCGCCTTGGTGATTTATAAAGGCTACCACCATCCTGTTGTCTGAACGGACAAGGATGTGGTGCCCCCTTAAGGCTGGCAGAAAGGTTTTTAGGTTGAGAAAAACTGCCATCATTTCGAGACAGTTGATGTGTAGGCGTTGCTCCAGGCTGGACCAGGAGCTGAATGCCGGTCTGCCCTCGCACAACCCGAGTTGGAGGCATCTGTTATGACCACCTTCCTTCTGGAGGACAATCCCAATCGAACGCTTGTCTGATACAGATGAGGTAAGTCACCTTGAGTGGGTCAATTTGAGGTGATGGCATCCCAGGTGCCAAGCATGGGACGGTACACGGGCTTTAAGCCAAAAATAATGGGGCCGGATGTGAAGCAGTCCCAGTGGAATCATTGAGTGTGCAGGGCCAGAGACAGTCCAAACAGCAGGACTGTATATTGATAAGCCATCCTTGAACAGGAATCTCAAGAATGGTCTGTGATGAGATGCTGTCTGGATGTGAAAGTATGCATCTTTCAGATCCAGTGATAAAAACAAACCCCCTGGGCATATTTGCACAAAGATCTGCTTCAAAGTCAACACCCTGAATGGGTGTCTCATTAGGGCATGGTTCAGGTGTCTGAGATCGAGGATGGGCTTGAGCCCACTAAATGGGGCCGGATGTGAAGCAGTCCCAGTGGAATCATTGAGTGCGCAGGGCCAGAGACAGTCCGAAAGGCAGGACTGTATATTGATAAGCCATCCTTGAACAGGAATCTCAAGAATGGTCTGTGATGAGATGCTGTCTGGATGTGAAAGTATGCATCTTTCAGATCCAGTGATAAAAACAAACCCCCTGGGCATATTTGCACAAAGATCTGCTTCAAAGTCAACACCCTGAATGGGTGTCTCATTAGGGCATGGTTCAGGTGTCTGAGATCGAGGATGGGCTTGAGCCCACTATATTTCTTGGAAACAAGTAGCTACTGTAAAAGCCTGACTTGCTGATCACTGGAGGAACCGTCTCCATAGAGCCTTTTGCTAGCAGACTTTGCACTTCAGATCGGAGAACATGTGTAACATTGTCCTGTACTGAAGTTTAAATAACACCTCTGAAACGAGGGGGTCTGCAACTGAAATGGAGCGAGTAGCCTCATTCTATAGTCTGCAGAACGCAACTTGACACGCCCGGGATGGCTCGCCCAAGCCTGGAGCCGGGTGGCAAGTGGTCTGAGTTTTTCAAGTGGCAGGTCGCTGTGCAGAGGCAGGGAACTGACATTTGTGCTGTCATGAAGAGGAGAAGTGCTCTTTTGAGTAGGTGGATCCACTATAACAGCGGTAATTTACTCATGCAAGTGCTAAGTGGGAAGGACAGGCCTAGCATGAACAATGCTTCCATCGCCTGGAACTAAACAGGGGACTATGCAAATGTGAGACTAATTTCGGGGCGGTCCAGCCTCAGCCTTGCTGGGAAGATGGAGCATTCTGGCAACATGAACCAGCTGCTGAACTGGAATGCTTGGGCAGGAAGTGGCGCATGGGCTGCCACGACTTCTGTGCTGCAGTGACGTGCTCTGTGAACCCGTCTATGGCAGGCTGAATGATCCCTTGGGGTAAACTGGGAAGTCAAGAAAGGTGACCACGTCCTTGATCTCCTTAAGATTCAGCCAAAGGTGGTGCTCAAGCATCACCAAGTTGGACATGGCCTTGTCGATCGCCCGTGAAGTTGCCTTTGTAGCGTGTAGAACCAGGTCAGTTGCTGTGCGCAGCTCCATAAAGAATCGGGACTCATCCATGGTGCGGAGGAGTTTGGCTTGAAATACTTGAAGCACCGCCATTGTGTGAAGCGCTGAGCCAGCCTGGCCAGCCTCTGATTAAGCTCTGCCTGCTATGGCCGAGGGCGTCCTGCAGGGCTTGAGCAGGTGCAAGGATCTTGTCATATCCCTGTTCTTCAACGCCATCAATGGAGTTGAGGGTGGCAGAGGCAGAAGAGCCACGACTTGGTGAGTTCATTGTGAACTTCCGGTAAGAACGGTGCCAGTCCTTGTTGGGAGGTTCACTGGCGATATCCTGACAGGAACTATTCATCCAGATGGCTGTGGGCAGGCTCTTCCAGAGCCGACCATATTAAGCCGAGTTCCTCTACAGCCTTAGTGAGAATGCAAATCAGTTCGCTGTCCACGCTGGCCTGTGTTGACTCTTTTGGGGGAAAGATGTCAGAATCCTCTCCGGAGCATGCCCAATCCTCTGCATCTAAAACTGTCAGTGACATCCTCCTCAGATCCACTGAAGGAGACCAAATGCTGCAGACGAGGGGCGCTGATCTTAATGTGAGAAGTGCACCAGCGAATCATAATTCTGCAGGGAGAGTGAAGCATTCAGGATCTTGTGTCGAAATGAGATTCCTCAAGCTTAACTGCTAAGACCCATGACTCCGCTGTTTCTTCCTCCAAGGAACCTGGGAGATAAGAAATGGGAGAGTGGGAGGGACAGGGCTGCCTTCGTGGAAGGCGGCGATCCAAAAGCAAAGCAGGTTGAGGCTCATGCTCTTGCAGTGAGAGCAGTCTGTCTCAGTGTGCAACTTTGTTGTGGGCAGGCAAGTGACGCACTCACTGTGCCCATCTGAAGTGTGCAGGGGTGCTCTGCACGAGCCACACTCATGGCTTGACATTTAAAACAAATGTCTTTTTCCAGCGGGGAGATGATCTTCGTGCTGAAGGAAGAAATTCTGATGAAATGGCATCCAGCACCAGCTTATATAGACAGTCGGCTCCACCAGTTATGCCAGGCTGAAATGCCATTTGTTCATGCAGCTACATGAATATTAAGAAATCAGGCTTCAGCATTCAGAGTAAAGAGAAGTTTCCCCATAGCGTAGTTATGTGTGAATGTTTTGAAAAGGAACTGGGCTGCATTTCCCAAAAGCATCGTAAGCTTAAGTACGTCGTAGACCCATTGAAACCAATGGAGCTACGATCAACTTAGGCTTATGATGCTTTTGGGAAACGCAGCCCAGGAAATGAAGTTTCAGCTGAAATTGGCCAGAAAAAGGGACTTCTGACATGTAGTGTAGGCTTAACCTATTGTTTTTTTTTCTACATATTTTCAAGAGTTTATTTTTATAACACTGTTGAACTTGACATGATTTTGTATTTATTTATTTTTCTAAGATAGCTATGATGGATGATTTCTATATGATAACTCAGGAGGACCTGGAAGATATTAAAGAATCCATATCTACTCAGGATCTCCCAACAGCAGTAAACACGATCAAAGGATTCCTTGAAAAACAGGATCATGTAGAACTTAACGTTGGTGTGACGGGGGAGTCCGGTTCTGGAAAATCCACGTTTGTCAATAGATTCAGGGGTTTAGGGGATGAAGAAGAGGGCTCTGCTCAAACTGGCCCTGTAGAAACCACTATGGAGCCTAAAGCTTATCGTCACCCAAAATACAAAAATGTGAAAGTGTGGGATCTTCCTGGCATTGGAACACCAAACTTCAAAGCCGATGAGTATCTTAAACTGGTTGAGTTTGAACGCTATGATTTTTTCATCATCATCGCTTCAGATCGGTTCAGAGAATGCCACACTCAGTTGGCCAAAGAGATCATGAGAATGGGGAAAACATTTTATTTTGTTCGTTCCAAGATTGACTCAAGCATTGATGCTGAGAAGCAGAAGAAGAGCTTTGACCAGAAAAGGACACTGGATATCATCCGAGAGGACTGTGAAAAAGGTTGGTTATTCAGTTCACACGGCAATTTTTTATTACAGTAATTATTATAAAATATTTAATGACTTATTTTATGTTGCCCTTTCCTGTTTCTTTCTAGGTCTGAGAAAGATCGGTATAGAGTATCCTGTTGTGTTTTTGATCTCTAACTTTGAGCTCGGCAAGTATGATTTAAATCTGCTGCAGGAGAGAATGGAGCAAGAGCTTCCACAGCATAAGAGACGTGTGCTGATGTTGGCTTTGCCGAATATCACTTTGGAGATCAATGAGAAAAAGAAGAAAGCTCTAGAGGAAAACATTGGAAAAATTGCCTTACTGTCTGCTTTGGTGGCTACAGTTCCTATTCCTGGTCTTTCAGTTGCTGTGGATATAGCCATTGTTACAAAAGAGATAGAAACGTACTACAGTACCTTTGGTCTGGATGATCCATCCCTGCAGAAGCTCTGCGAAAGCTCTGGGAAGACCATTGAGGAATTCAAAAGTCTTATGAAGTCGCCACTGAGTGGTGGGATAAACCCAGCTTCAATATTATCCTTAGCGGGTGCTGCATTTCTGGTTTTGGCTGAAAATACAGTTGAGTATGTTGTGAGTCTCGTACCCCTTCTTGGCAGTCTGGTGGCAGGAGGAATGTCCTATATGACAGTCTCAACAATGCTGAAGAGAGCTCTGAATGACATAGCAGAAGATGCCAGAAACGTGCTAATAGCTTCAGTGCAGACTGAAGTGTAAACACAGAATGTGACATAGAAATTGTGTATTCAAGTAGCAGCTGCTTTGATTCAAACTTATAGCAAATTTCTGTTAGTTCACTAAATGTGATCTTTCATTTCTTTTTACTTGGTTCTTTTGTTTCATTTCTTTAACTGAAATTTACTTTCCCCTTGGAGGGAAAAAAATGCAGCATCATAATCTCTGTTGCTACACTCATGATACATTACATTAAAAACATTTATCGCTTTGGGATGAGTGTTGTGTTCCGTTCTTTTCTTAATATGATCAAAAAATAGAACTACAGTAGGTTAGCTGATTGCCTTAAAAGTCCATAGATATTGGCATCAGTTTATACTGCTGTTAACACTTTCTCTGACCAGTTTTCCGATTTGGTGGCATTCAACATATACCCCATATACTCAAAACAACTGCAGTCTACACACAACAAAATATAACAAAGAACAGTATTGCACAGTTGGTGTGAACAAAGACTTAGAGGCACATTTATGCCTACATTTACAGTTATTTACGGGTGACTGCAGTGTATCATAGCAGACAGTAAACCTGCTGCATTTGAAATCATTCTATTAAAGTTATTGTATTTTAAAGTATTTCAAGCGGTGAGGGAACATAGCCTCCATTGTTAAAATAGTGTTTGAATAAGTTGACAACTGTATTAAAAAACTAATTCTGCATGTGTCAGTGTTGTCAACTGATGGGACTCTCTTCACATAAACAGATATGTTTTTTTGGCACATTATTGTTGTGTCGTCTCAGGGTTGCCAAATAAGAAACTCTTTCCGCAGCTCTTGCTGACGCGTGAAGCGGTTTCCACACTGAGGGCAGGTGAATGGTCTCTCGCCGGAGTGAATCCTCATGTGATTCTTAAGAGTCTTTTTGCCTGTGAAGCTCTTTCCACACTGAGGGCAAGACAACAAATCTTCGGCTTCTGTCCTTTCACGTGAGCGGTGATTTCCAGTTTCTGAGCAAATTAAAGATTCTTTTGAAATACTGATGTTTCTCTTGCACGTCATTCAGTTCTTCACCTTCCTCTTTCACTTCCAGCAGGTCTGAAATCAATATTGAAAAGATTAAGTGTCACAAAAGTAAAAAAAAAACCCTACTTTTTATGTGATCTCATTTTCACGTGAATGCCATCAAACATTAGTAAACAACTGCTATACAACATGATAGTCATTTAGGGGAGTGACTATGGAGCGAATTTTGTGCCAATATTCATCAAACAAATCCAGTGTTTTGCAAATAAACACAATCTGCTTTGCAAAGAAAAACTCGACTTTCAAACAAACGCAAAGTGATTTGCAAATACAAAACTCTATTTGAGTATTACAATATATTGTTATACCCCTGCATTGTTTTGAATGTTGAACAATTGTATCAACCTATATAGCCTATATATTCTATATCCCGCGATCCAACAGAGGATAAGAGGTACAGAGAATGGATCAGTTTTTTATAGGGAAAGACTGCCTAGTTAAATGTTTAGCCACTACTGATTTTTGAACTAATCAATCATGTTAACAACTTTACAGCACTTATTGTGAATTTCACTGACACTGTAGTAGGGTTGCTTTGTTAAAACGTCTATATGGTTAATTATAGATATAGTAAGACAGAAACTCACCTGTTCCCCACTCATGTTGGTCTGCTGTATTCCCTGAAAAGGTAAAGAGGTGTTTCGGGTCTCGGGAGACTAGTGTAAATTGACCGACAGCGCCATCTGCTGTTTTTGGAAAAGAAAGTTGCTCAATTGCATTTGTGACAAAATCTGCCTGCACGCATTTGTCAGAAAATCAAGCCAAGTTTCCTCATAAAAAGCCAAAATTAGTCTAACAGTTGTAACACACAATACATGTATTTGTCCATACCTCTGCATTTTCAGAATACCTCTCACTTTGCGTTTGTTTGAAAGTCGAGTTTCTTTGCAAAGCAGATTGTGTTTATTTGCAAAACGCTGGATTTGTTTGATGAATATTGGCACAAAATTCGCTCCATAAGTGACCCTTATCAACAGTGACACTTACCAAATAAGGCTGCTTGTTTTATTAATTCTATCAAAAACAACGCATGAGACAAATGACTTGTTTCTCAGCAAATGCACACATTTGTGTTATTTTATTTTGAGCTAATCTAATGTTTGGTTCCTGGATTACTTGGAATCGTGTGTCGGATGGTCAGTGCAGAAGTCACATCAAATCTTGCCCTACAAACAGAATGTTTTTTTTGAGAAAAAAACAAGCCAAGTTTACTCATAAAAAGGCAAATGAGTCTCACAGTTGTAACACACGATACATATATTTGTCCATACCTCTGCATTTTCTCTCAAATAGAGTTTTGTATTTGCAAATCACTTTGCGTTTGTTTGAAAGTCGAGTTTTTCTTTGCAGAGCAGATTGTGTTTATTTGCAAAACGCTGGATTTGTTTGATGAATATTGGCACAAAATTCGCTCCATAAGTGACCCTTATCAACAGTGACACTTACCAAATAAGGCTGCTTGTTTTATTAATTCTATCAAAAACAAAGCATGAGACAAATGACTTGTTTCTCAGCAAATGCACACATTTGTGTTATTTTATTTTATTTTGAGCTAATCTAATGTTTGGTTCCTGGATTACTTGGAATCGTGTGTCGGATGGTCAGTGCAGAAGTCACATCAAATCTTGCCCTACAAACAGAATGTTTTTGTTTTTAATCTTAGATTTTAGAAAAGAGATGTTTTTCTAGATTTGTTTTTTTTTTTTTTTTCAAAATCAGAATCATAATTTAAAAAACTAGTGATGTCAAATGTACTGGTGAATTCAGTTTCAGGTTGATACTAAAATAAAAAAGATGTGACTACCCACAATATTTAGAAGGATTTAAAATGTGGGCGACATTTACGTTTCAACAAACTAATATTTTATCTTAACAATAAAAGACTCAGGAGCTGGGAAACAAAAATGTGTTCTTTATTTTTCACTCAGGTTCACCTATTCAACACATTTACACCACTAGAAAATTAAGATTTTCTACATGTAATGTTATTTTCCCACAACAAATCATTTAAATAAGCACTGGTCGATAGTTTTTTAATAAAGTCTGAAGATCAGCATAAAGATAGATAAATAAAAATGTTTGTACAAAACTAGCCTTATTAGGATAATTTAAGAAGAGATCAATGAAGCCATGACTTCACACAATTCAGTATAAAGTGTAAACGTCTGTAACACGCCTAGAAGAAGAAGAGGAAGAAGAAAGGACTTTAATTTTGTATTTTAATATTTGGGGACTTTTATTCTGGTTCCCTGATTCCGCGTGACGTCATCAGCACTGCGTCCGCCTTCTCCTGTGTCAGCTGGATAAAGGTCTGTGTTTTTCAGCATTTTAGGTGTGTAAAACGACACTAAACGTTGAGTTTTCTCTACGCTTTTTACTCCAAAAACATAATAACACAACTGAAAGAGTTTTCCGTTAGTAATGCGAAACGAATGTTGGCTGTTACTGACTATAATTGCAGTGCATAGTTCTGAGGTAAAAGACGCGATCATTGATTTGATCTCCGAGTGATTTTCCTGATTAAATCCTCTTCTTCTCGATCTTAATCGATGACACGTTTCCAAACGAACAGGAGAAGCCCGAGGTTTGTCGAAGATGGAGTTTGTGAAAGTGGAGCTGGTGGATGTGGAGCCGCTCAGAGTCAAAGAAGAACCCGAGCCGCAAACAGGCAGGTTTCCATCAGTTCTGCCTTATGTATCTTTAGCAGTGTTTGCTGTCATGAAAAAAAAATTATATATCTTTATTTCTACTGTCCATTTATGCACACTACCAGTCAAGAGTTTTTGAACAGTAAGATGTTTTTATGTTTTTAAAGAAGGCTCTTCTGTTCACCAAACCTGCATTTATTCGATCCAAAGTACAGCAAAACATTTAAAAATCTGAAATATTTTTTACTATTTAAAATAGCTGTTTTCTGTGTGAATATCTATTAAACTGTAATGTATTTCTGTGATGCGCAGCTGAATTTTCATCATCATTACTCCAGTCTTCAGTGTCACCTGATCTTCAGAAATCATTCTCATATCGTGATTTGCTGCTCCAGAAACATGGAAACATTTCTGATTATTATCAATGTTGAAAACAGTTGTGTAGAATTTTTTCAGGTTTCTTTAATGAATAGAAAGTTCAGAAGAACAACATTTATCTGAAATATAAATATTGTGTAACATTATAAATGTCTTTATCGTCACTTTTGATAAATTTAAAGCATCCCTGCTAAATAAAAGTATTAATTTCTATAATTTCTCTAAAAAAAATTTTTTTTTTAATTATACTGACTCCAAGCTTTTGAATGGTAGAGTCAGTGTATAATGTTACAAAAGCTTTTTATTTCAGATAAATGGTAATCTTTGGATTTATCTATTCATCAAAGAATCCTGAAAAATTCTACACAACTGTTTTCAACATTGATAATAATCAGTAATGTTTGTTGTGCAGCAAATCAGCATATTAGAATGATTTCTGAAGATCATGTGACACTGAAGACTGGAGTAATGATGCTGAAAATACAGCTGCGCATCACAGAAATAAATTAGTTTAATACATATTCACATAGAAAACAGCTGTTTTACATTGTAAAAATATTTTACATTTTTTTGTTTTTGCTGTACTTTGGATCAAATAACTGCAGGCTCGGTGAGCAGAAGAGACTTCTTTAAAAACATTAAAAATCTTCCTGTTCAACAACTCTTGACTGCTAGTGCATCTTCTTTAACCCTTCCTGCTGCTCAGTTGATTTATACACGTGTTCGTTCTAGACTTGATGGAAGAGGACAGTCAAGATCCGAATGACGAGGAGGAGGATCCTCACAGTTTCACAGCCGGAGAAATGTCACAAACGGAGGATTCGACACAAACTACAGGAGCCAAGAAGTCCTTCTCCTGCCCGCACTGCAGAGAGAGCTACAAGCGTAAAGCAGACCTGAAGGATCACATGGGGATTCACAGCGAGCGGCCGTACACGTGTCTGCAGTGCGGCAAGAGCTACACGCAGAAGATCAACCTCCAGAATCACCTGCTGATTCACAACGGAGAGAAGCCCTTCACCTGCTCGCAGTGCGACCGGAGCTTCACGCGCAAGGGAGACCTGAAGAAGCACATCAGCGTTCACTTCGGAGAGCGGCCCTTCACCTGCCAGCAGTGCGGGAACAACTTCAGGCACCAGGGGAACCTCACCAGTCACATGAAGATATTTAATATATGCACATTTTTCTTAAATATATACATGCATGTGTGTGTCTTTATATATACATAATATATGTGTGTGTGCTGCGTATATTTATTATGTACACTAAAGCATTTATTTTGGATGTGATTAAAGATGAAATTATTCCTGAAAAGAGCTGTTTTACTGAAGTGACCTGCAGATTTCACTCATTCGATAGAGAAAGTTGAAGGTCAAGCGGTAGTAAATCGTATGAATTATTACATTCATTGGGTGAGAGGGCATTTGTGAAGCATTATTATTATTATTGCATTTTTCTCCGTATGTTAATTTAGTTCATAGCTGTTGAGAAGTGATGCATGGAGAGCCGAAATAGTGATTTACTGTTACGAGAATCCCTAATTAACAATCTAACGAGAGAGGACTTAACGTTTGGCGTTCATCACACTAACGAGTTCATCTGTAACTATTGACTCAGAATGCTCAGTAATGACTCTATATACTGTTCTCTGTCGAGCTGAGAGTCAGTCTGGGATTATTAAAAATGCAGTTTCTGTACTGTTCGTTCATGTAAATTAATTCTTAGCAGTCTGTATTGTATAAAGTGATATATGACTAAATGTGACTCGTCGTGTAGTGTAGGTTATATAGGGCTGCATGTGAAATACATTTGTATATGCATTACATTCATCTGTTTGAGTCGCTTGAGTTTTTCTCCTTCAGCTGGGCAAAACATTTACTTTTTCTTCAGCCGGAGGCTTTTGGTGTGAAAGGGACAAAAATATAACTTTTTAATGTTAAAAACAAACAAGCAAGCCCTGCCCAGATTCAAAAAGTAACGAAAAAGTAACAACGCATTACTTTCCATAAAAAGTAACTAAGTAACGTAATTAGTTACTTTAGGGAGTGACGCAATATTGTAACTTTTCCCAACACTGGTGTTAATATATAAATTTATTGATTGCCTTCTTATCAAATCAGATCTATTAAAAACTTTGATTTCTCAAAGCCAAACAAATTTGAAAGATGGCTTAGGCACCTGGAAAAGATCAAGATAACCTTGAAAAAGCATCAGATTTGTATCAAGTTTAGTCACATGAAGATTCACACCGGAGAGAAATCCCAGCGCAATTACAGCGACAAGAAACTCGCGCAGGTGTGCAACTACAAAAAGCCGGTGCTGTATCACGCCGGAGACATGCCCTTCAGATGTGAGCCGTGCGGCCAGAGGTTCATTCTGTCCTCGCACCTGAAGAGACACCAGAAGTGGCACTCGCATTAGAGCTCAGAAACCAGTATATACTTTCTGAACGAGTGTGTGTGTGTGGGGGAAAGCAGCACATAATCAGTTCTTCAGTTCAGAGACGAAAGCATCGTTTACAGTCGAGACGGAGCGAAGTTCATTCTCAGCTCTAGTAGATTCAGATTAATCACATCCAAAATAAACGCTTTAGTGTACATAATATATGTGTGTGTGCTGCGTATATTTATTATGTATATATAAAGACACACACATGCATGTATATAGCCCTGCCCAGATTCAAAAAGTAACGAAAAAGTAACAACGCATTACTTTCCATAAAAAGTAACTAAGTAACGTAATTAGTTACTTTAGGGAGTGACGCAATATTGTAACTTTTCCCAACACTGGTGTTAATATATAAATTTATTGATTGCCTTCTTATCAAATCAGATCTATTAAAAACTTTGATTTCTCAAAGCCAAATGATTTTGAAAGATGGCTTAGGCACCTGGAAAAGATCAAGATAACCTTGAAAAAGCATCAGATTTGTATCAAGTTTCCGTGCTGATTTAATGTATGCGAGACCATGACAGAACAGCATGGAAATGATCAAACTGTGCAGAACAAGCTGAAGAAATACTTACCAAAATACTGTAATTCATGATTTTATCACTGAAGTTTATTCTTTGTCTGAACTCTTTGCTTTTGGAAAAAAAAAAAAAAAGAGAAAATACAACTATTCATTGTTTGTTGAATGAATGAATGAACCGGAGATAATATAAACTTGCATTTAATTTTAATCATGTAATAGTAAATGTTGAACTTTACATTTTTACATTACATTATCATGCACACACAACCCTGTTTTTAGTTGCTGGTCAGACAAACAAAATAATCTGGAGTCACGCTAATGTGAAGATCAGCTTCTCAAGCTCAAACGTATGCGATCCAGTGGCAGGAACGCATAAAGTGAGAATGCTTGCTGAAATTATTTTTTAATCTTCTGTAACGCATTTGAAGGAACACAAGAGAAATAAACGCTGGCTCTCTCCAGATCCAGTGCGGTTCATCAGGGAGCTCTTTAGATGCTAACAAGCTAAAAGTGGCTAGATAACAGAACGATTATTTAACGCAGAACAATCATGGAACAGTCATCGCAACACAGTGCTGATCCGAGAAATGTCTAAGTTTCTTCAGAGAGAATCCTGTTAAAAACAAGAACAGCGTTAAGTGATGAAACCATGTTGTCCTGATCTAGAGAAACACAGTGAGTTCATGAACGTGACAAAACAGCCTCGAACCTTGGCGAGGCCTGCAGACTGACTGGAGGATCACAGCCCAGGAACGCTCGGTTATCATGCGAGTACTGCAGCAGAGCGCTGAAACACGGGTCCTGTCAAGAAGCACACAAAACACAGTTCAGAGTCTGTCAGGGGCTCCAAATCACCACCTTAGAATTATTCATATGTGACCCTGCAGCACAAACGCAGTCATAAGCAGCACAGGTATATTTGTAGCAATAGCCAATACATTGTATCTATTTTCTTTTATGCCAAAAATCATTAGGATATTAAGTAAAGATCATGTTTCATGAAGATATTTTGTAAATTTCCTATCGTAAATATATCAAAACTTAATTTTTGATTAGTAAGATGCATTGCTAAGAACTTAATTTGAACAACTTTAAAGATGATTTTATCAATATTTTGATTTTTTGCACCCTCAGATTCCAGATTTTCAAATAGTTGTATCTCAAGACAAATATTGTCCTATCCTAACAAACCATACATCAATGGAAAGCTTATTTATTCAGCTTTCAGATGATGTATAAATCTCAATTTCAAAAAATTGACCCTTGTGACTGGTTTTGTGCTCATATAAGGAAATAGGAAGGAATGATTTTTGTAATGCGGGGAGTTAATTCCATTAATTCAAGTTGTTTAATAGAAATGAATATGAATTATTAAATCTTTTCCAGGTGGAAAGAAATAAAACCTTGGTCTGAAATCACTCCTGAGTTATCAAAGGTTATGTGATTAAACTGCTTGGATTGTGTTGAGTATCTACACAGATGTCCTTCGTTTGGATCGAGTGAAGAGGGCTTTAAATCTCACCTTGATTAAAACGTGTGGGTTTCCGATCACAATGAGCAGCGCTTTGGCTCGTGTGATGGCAACGTTGAAACGCTTCGGGTCGGAGAGGAATCCCAGCATGCTTTGCAGTTCTTCATTCAGCAAGGACTCGTTGGATCGGACCTACAGTTTAGAAAACAGTGTTCTGAGCTCTCCAAACATTCATTATAATGCAGTAGATGCTTTACCAGTTTCACACGATCAGTCTTGCTCGTCTAATTGTTGTGATTTATAAAAGCAGCAATAACGTACAACGCAATTTACAAAAAGTAAAACTGACTCCAGTCTGGATCGCAGGTTTGTTCAAACGGTTCGAGCTCGTCCTGCGCTTCACTTATTTCCACAGTGCGAGCCGCCACTCCAGTCAAAGCACTTGATGTTTAATGCACTTGAATATTCAAATGAAAAGGTACTGACTGATGAATATTTATGCATACACAGGCTACTATATCTAGTTTTATATCTAGTATGTGCTGGGGCTGCAAGGAAGATTATTAGCTGTTATGTTTAGTTTTTATGGAGACTTGCTCTGCTGAATCATTTAAATCAGTGAACCGTTCAATGGAGACTTGTTCTGAATGAATCATTTGAATCAGTGAACCATTCAATTGAGACTCACTCTGACTGAATCATTAGAATCAGTGAACCATTCAATTGAGACTCACTCTGACTGAATCATTAGAATCAGTGAACCATTCAATTGAGACTCACTCTGACTGAATCATTTGAATCAGTGAACCATTCAATAGAGACTCACTCTGACTGAATCATTTGAATCAGTGAACCATTCAATGGAGATTCGCTCTGACTGAATCATTTGAATCAGTGAGTTGACTCGAGAACAGCTGCAGTCCGATCAGTCCAATTCCCAATGAATCATACAGAGTGATTTTGCACGCTGATTTACAAATCAGACAGCACTATCACCTCTCAGAGCAGGCGACGATTTCTCTAGTTCAAAATAACGAAGAGCGACATGTTTTTAAGAAATGTAGTGGAGTAAAAAGTATGAAATCATGCTTTGACTTATTTCGCTACACTACAAAGTTTCTTGAAATGAAAATACTCTGATAAAGCACATAGACATGAAAATGCACGCAAGTGCAGTAAGGAAGTGAAAACACTGGTTACCGTTGACATGATGATGATGAGGAACTCCTGGCCCTGGAACTCCTCCACCGACCCCACCTTCACCTCTCCCAGACCCACTCTGTGCAGCAGCACACGGATCTTCTCCACCTGACCACACAAACATCTCAGGACTTCACGATGATACAAGCCATGAAAGACAAGTCTGCTGATTAAACGGGAGTTTACATAATTACATCCCACCACAGACAGACTGACAATTCACTTGAAACTTAGCTTGTTAACTAGTAATCCTGGCATTGTCTGGCAAAAGCGTCTGTATGCACGGAAATGGACGAACAGATGCGGTGTCTGAGGGGTTTTCTGCATGCACAGAGCTGCCAGCCTTAGAACAAGTTTTAGAGTACCATCAGTGTGACGGGACGTGACAGGGGTATTTTTTTTGCAATTTAAAATGTTGAAGTATTGTTTTTATGGATTGGCCATTATTGAGCGCTATAAACGCATGTAATGAAACTCCACATGTGCATCACAGAAGTAACAGAACCTATGACGCTTCAGGTTTAGAAACGCTTCTCATGTGATACACATGTATCCATTTTTAAAGTGTTATCTATTGATTCTACCGCTTATTTATATTACATATGATCTGTATATATTAATATTCATTTAAAATAAATGCTTTATAATAACTGTTAAACTAAAAGTGCTTGCATGTAATGGATTAATAATACTATAAATCATATTATAATTATGTAAATCATATGCAAATTGTAATTATCATTAAAGCCAGACAATTTAGTTGTAATTTTTTTAAGGTACTTTATAGTGACCTTTAACCCTTTCCCCACCAAACACTGAATTTTCCGTGTTTTCACTATAATACGCTAGGGGGCGCTATTATGCATCTCCTGAATGAGTCTAAACAGTGCTGATCAAAAACACAGACCAAGAAGAGACAGAAACCAGCGATCTCATATGCAAGCATATGCATATGAAAAATAATGTGATCAACACTAACCGCATATAAATAAAAACGAGTCTAATGTTCCCGGGTGAAATGTGGATCCAGAAAGTGTGAAGCTTTGGAAGCGCTGATGGAATCTACTGCAGCTTTGCTTTGATAATATTACTGAATATGATCCAGATGTAGTATTTGATAAAAATGCGATTTTCTCAGCTTTTTGTAGAAAGCACATTAAGTGCTCAAGTATTAATTTTAAAAAAAGCGTGAAGCTAGAACAGATTTTTTGTTGTTTGAAAGCAGAGGGTCTGATCTTTATTTTGATGTACTGCATGTTCAGATATTCATACAACAAAATATTCTGGGTGTCATGAAATTTTAGTGAAAATCAGCAAAAACGCTGGCGGTGGCTGGCAATGTTTTTCAAAACACTGGCGGGGAAAGAGTTAATTTGTAGGAAGAGAAACTCTGAGTGACTTTCTGCGTCAGACAGACATGTGTCACTTTGCTCACATCTGATTGGTCCAATTTCAGTTTGAAATCTCTAATCCAGAACACAACCAGCTCCAGAGCAGCTGTGGAGTGTAAGTTACTATGACAATGAACGCCGCTAAAAGCCAAGCCACTTTCATGGTACCTAAAACCCAGGATTGGTGCAAACTAAACTGAAACTAGCCAACTAAACCGGCTTCATGGTACAGGCCCCAGATCTAAACCAGGCTGGATTTGTTTGGTTTTGTCAACTCTAAACCTGCTCTGAAACTCAGACACTCACCTGTTTCTTATATGGAGCGATGACGCCGATGTCTGTCGCAGCGATGGGGTTGTAGAGTCTCTTCGCGAGCTGGCAGCAGTACATCATGACTTGCACAGCTTCAGCGGGATTGAACCACGACTGATTATTGCCCTCTCTCACCTCAGTCCCCCTCTCACACACACACACACACACACACACACAAACACGGCATCTGAGGGTGCTTTCAGACCTGTACATCGTTTGCTTTGTAACAAATTAAGTCCCTGTTTGGGAACAATGTTGCATTTTCTTCTTGGTCCGGTTCGCTTTCACAAGGCAACATTGCAAAGCTTATTGTGATAATTAAAAACATGATTTTTGAAAATTAAAAAAAAAACAAGAGTTATCGGTTTTTGCACATAAACTCTTCATATATATATATATAAATAAATGCAGTTACAGCCAGCAATATTAAGCTATATTTATTCTTGTAATGCGCAGAGAAGAGCAATTAATTACACAATGTTTTAATATGAAGAGCTGCTCTTTGGTTTTCAAATGCAAAAACAAATATTCTCACTCACAGAATCAGACACTGACTGCTGCATTTACGTAACATTCTCCTGTTATGAATTATGATACCGCTTGGTCCGTTGGCTCGGATTGCTTTCTCACCACGAGTGAACCGCTCCAGAGTGTGTTCTCTGAACTCGAGGCAGGTGTGAAAGAGTCGATACTCACCCGCACGCCGTGAAACATGAAGGGGAAGCCCTTAGTGGGAAGCCTGTTCCAGTGGCAGAGCGCATCCACGACGGTCCTCTGAGAGCGAACACACAGCTCTCCGGCGTAAAACAGCCGCGACGGCAGCTCCAGCAGAGCCTCGTGGGAGCGGTAGTTATACACCAGCTTCATCACCTACAAAACCACACGCATTAATACACTACTCATCACAGGAGTCTGGGAAGTGCTCCCGATCAGTGGAAAATAAGAACCATTATTAGACTGGGGTTTCCAGGTTCAGTGCATGCTGCAACGATGCAAAGTTCATTTGAACTAATGGAGGAAATCTGTGCTACTTTATTGTGCAAATGCACTAGGATTCTCCCTTAAATGTTTTTATTGATTTCATCTTAAATCAATGATGTGTCAATAAAGGTTCCTGACGGAGACGGTGATTATTTCAAAGCTGAAATTAGTCTGGAGTATAAACCATTTCAAAATAAAAGAGTTTTATTTTTGCACTTAAACAGGGCTCTACGCTTATTTTTCTTTTTAGGAGCGCTTGTGCTCCTAACTTAAATTTAGGAGCACCAAAATTTGATAAAAAATAGCCTTCCCATTACGAGGTGATATTTGACTCCTTAAAGTGATTTACAGTAGAATTTTGTTTTTACCTTTGTAATGGCATTTTTCTATCTTTATTAAAAGTGTCATCTCTTGTCAAATTTTTTTTAAATTATATTTTATAAGCTTTTTAAAAATCACAAATATGATGAAGATCTGGTCAGTCGCACTGTAGAGCCCTGCTAAACACTTTCTGTTTGCCGACTTTGCACCTGTTGGATATCAATATATTTAATTTTTAACATCACTTTAGTTATTTGCTTCTGCCATGGTGTGATTCTCCATGTGACGGTCTTATTACAGCTTTGCTCAAATAAATGTACATTTATAAAGAAATATATATTTTTTTTTTACAATTACTAAAAAATTTTTTTTTTAAATAAATAACCAATTAAATTAGTATTTTAGTTAAGTTCTATCACAACATTTGTGTCGATTACCACAGTATGCTAAAAAATTATTTCTACTCATTTCTCAAATTTGCAGAGACTTCTGTTTACAACAAAGATCAACAAGTGATCGCATGGGGAGTATAAAATCAGAAATCTGCATTTTTCTTAAAGGTGATATAATTTTTTCCCATGTTAAAAAACTTTGTTAAATAAGTTATCTAGTATAATAACTTTTAAGGTTAAATATTTTGTGCGTGTCAATAAGTTTCCTTTTCTGAAGAAGAAAAGAGTACATTTATTTGGCAAGGATGCATTAAACTGATCAAAAGTGATGAATCTTATGTAACAATGTCAATGGCTTTACCAATTAAAAAAAAAAAAAATAGTGCTGTCAAACGATTAATCGCGATTAGTCACATCCAAAATAAAAGTTTGTGTACATAATAAATATACACAGTACACTCACATATATTATGTACTGTATATATACAGATATATATATATATACACACACACACGCATGTATATATTTAAGAAAAATGTTATATTTGTATATTAAATATATTTATATATAACAAATTATACAAATATATACATGTAAATATTTTCAAAATATATGCATGTGTATTTTTATATATATATATATAATAAATATACACAGTACACACACATATGTGAGCCTGGAGCACAAAAGCAGTCTTATGTAAACAAAAACTTTTTTGGGGGATGCGATTAATCGCGATTAATCATTTGACAGCACTAAAAAAAAAATAAAATAAAAAATGGTTTCTTCAACCTAAAAATCATATCAGTTTTCACAAAAATAGATCAATTCCTGTAGACTGAATTATTTTCTGTGGAAACTGACAGCATGTCAAACATCCTGTAAATAAAGCGTAAGCTGCATTTATCTCAATATTTCACGTATATCCCACAATCCCTTGTAATGCAGCCTCCTGACCAGCAGGGGGTTGTATCCTCTCTCGCTGCAGCTGTAGAGCGGCGTTCCCATCAGTCTCTCCAGCAGAGACACGCCGAGTCCAAACACAGCGGCCAGCTTCGACTTCACCACCGGCCCCAGCTGCTTCGGATCTCCAGCCAGCACGATCTGTGGCAGAAACCAGAGGCGGATGAAGCAGTCTGCAGTGACCAGTGCTTCCACACGGACTCTGCTGGCTCTCACCTGTCCACTCGTCTCTGACAGTAAACTCAGAGGGATGAGCGACTCGGGTTCAGTGGCCTGACCCGCCTCATCCACAAACACATGGGTAAAGTGACCAACACTGAAAACACACCCACGTCTTTACAAGAGCTGACTGCACATCATTAACATCACATGCCAGGCAATATTATATTGTTTTTCCCCAAGCATGTTTTACCAATTTCAAACCACATAAATCTTATTAACTATTATCTTACATATAATCGATTATAAGTTATACTGTGGTGACCAAAATTATTAGAACACTAGTATTTTCAGCAGCTAAAGTCAGTTATTTCTATCTTTTGCTGTAGTATGCATCTCATGGGCATTTAATAATTTTCACCATTTCAGTTAAATCTCTAGTTTGGCCCATTTGCCTATAAAAATAACCCTGCTTAATAATTATGCACACCTGAATGTTTTTCGCTTCCAGCCCTTGTTAACAATCATATGCAACTTATTCATCATTACATGTAAAATGAATAGTAGTTATTAAGATTGATGTGGTTTGGAATTGGTCAAATGTGCATACCTTAGCAACCACCCCGGGTACCCTAGCAAACATATAGCAACACCCTAGCAACTAGACAATATTTTTATCCATCCATCCATCCATCTATCTATCTATCCCTTAGCAACCACCCCGGGTACCCTAGTAATGGCCCTAGCAACCACCCCAAGTACGTTAGCAACCGCATAGCAACGCGTTAGCAACCACCCTGGGCACTCTCAAACACATAACACCCAAGCAAACTTGGGTACCCCAAGAACCCTAGCAACCGCATAGCATCAACCTAGCAACCTTACCAACCATATAGCAACACCCTAGCAACTACCCAGAGTACCCTATCTGAGACTCCATCTGAAACATGCTAGCATTGTGATTATACTTAACAGCAACTTCATAGCAACACTCCACACCAACCTAGTAACCACCTGAGTACCCTAACAACCACATAGCGACACCCTAGCAACTGCCCCGGGTACCCTAGCAACTGCATAGAAACACCCTAGCAACCACCCCGGGTACCCTAGCAACCATATAGCAACACCCTAGCAACTAGACCATTTTTATCTATCTATCTATCAGGGTTTTTTATGCAAGGTTATTTTTATGTATTTTTCTTATCCTTACACTTTTTGTACTTTATAAAAGCCCTTCTAGAGACAAGTGTTGCAAATTAGCTCTCGCTATGAACACTGTTACTGGCATCAGACGGCTGTTCTTTGCAGATTTATCTATGCATATTAGACCTGTCCCTATTCAAATAAATCATTAATAAACAAATAAATAAAGTAACAGAATTTTTTTACAGTTTTTTTAAATAGAGTTAGTTCACCCAAAAATGAATCATTTACTCACCCTCATGTCATTCCAACCCCATAAGAGTTTGATTCATCCTCTTCTGGAACAAGACATTTTTAGAGGTTTTTGTCCCTACACTGAGCGTCCAGATAAACAAAAAGGGATCGTAAAATGAATCCATATGAATCGAGCAGTTTAATCAAAGCCTTGTGAAGAGATAGGAGCACTTTCTATGATGAACACATTTCATGGGTTTGGAAATGACACGAGGGTGAGTGAATGATTACAATTTTCCCTTTAAAGGCACAATATGTAAGACTTTCGTAATAAAATATCCAAAAACTACTTGCACAGTGTGATAGATTTCATGCAGTTGTGTACTCAACGTTATCCCAAAAGATCCCAAGGATTTGTAAATCCAGAGAAAATCCAGTTTTAAATAATAGCTCGTCTCTGTCGCCTATCAGTGACGTAATATCCACACCATCCTCAGTTAAATGCTGCTGTACAGTTCAACTAAATCCATTACGGCTGTTGTGAATAAAATGAAAATGAAATAAAAAGTGCTGACCACAGTATTCAATTTAGATATACTCAATGTTGCGCCATGACTTTGTTATGTGTTTGTACAGTGTTGTGCATTATAACCAATCACACACGAGTCTGTTGAGCTTATGAACGCAATAACCAATCAGTTCAGTGCACACGCTCGAGAATTCTCTCATCATAAACAACAAAGTGCAGATGTACGTATGATGTAAGAGATTCATTCATCAAACCGTGCATAGACAGCTTTACTGATTATAAAGGAAGTTTTTTTGAGAGTGCTTAAACTCGCGCTAGACTGTCATTGTCAAAGAACATTATGACTGACTTCAGTGTTCTTTGCTCACTTTCGCTGTATAATTTACCCTGTGTTGGGAAAAGTTACTTTTAAAAGCAACGCATTACAATATTGCTTGCTTGTTTTTAATATAAAAAGTTATATTTTTGGCACCAAAAGCCTCAGGCTGAAGGAAAAGTAAATATTCACGTCTAGAACGCAGAAGAAGAACGTTTAATCGTCTTCAGCGATTAAAAAAAAAAGAACAAATGTTAGTTTATTTAAAGTCATTTTTGCCTAGTAGTATGATTGAATTGGACATCGAAGCTCAGCAGAAAAGACACTTGTTAATGAAATGGGATTAAATACATTAAGCATATTTGTATTTAACATTTAATTATTGCATGTTTGTGTCACATTCTGAGTTGCATTTCACCATTTTATTCATTTTGAGGAACACCGAATCAGTTTTTTTGTGAGTGAGATGAATTAATGCATGTTCACATTTATTCTAGAACTAAAGTAACATCTTGCTCCTGATTTCTCTCAATATGAGCACAGGAGAGCTTTCAATCAATACACGGGAAACAAAGTAACTGGTTTACTTATGACCGCACCTCTTCTGGTCTGCAGGTGGCATTGACGCGAGCCAGACTGGCGGTGTGCAGGAATCCGCTCTGGTGCAGACGCATGCAGACGAGGTCCGCGGCACTGTTTGAGGGCGTGCACACCAGCACACGACTGCAGGGGATGCGGTGATGCACCTGCGCACACACACACAGATAGAGTTCACACATATTCACCATCTGACTCCGCTCACTCACTACAGCAAACTCAGCAAGAGGTCTGAGCAACATACACCACTTGTGTGTGTGTGTGTGTGTGTGTGTGTGTGTGTGTGTGT